GCGGAGGGGCCCGGGGACACCCGGGCGTGGGACGCACGGACATGGATGCGGGGACATGGGGACACACGGACGTGGGACGCACGGACATGGATGTGGGGATGCGGGGACGCAGGGACACACGGACGTGGGGAGGCATGGACCTGACAGACACGGGGACAGGGAGATGGGACACACGGACATGGGGACACAGGGACATGAGGATGCAGGGACACATGGACACAGACATGGGGACACACGGACATGGGGCAGGGACATGGGGACACACAGACACTGGGACATGGACACGGGGACACATGGACATGGGGCAGGGACATGGGGACACATGGACACACGGACATGGGGACACACGGACATGGGGACACACGGACACAGGGACACATGGACATGGGGATATCTGGACGTGGGGACACACAGACACGGGGACGCACAGACATGGGGACACGTGGACATGGGGACACGTGGACATGGGGACACACGGACACGGGGACACACGGACATGGGACACACGGACACGGGGGAGACACGGACATGGGGATACCTGGACATGGGGACACACGGACATGGGACACATGGACACGGGGGACACACAGACACTGGGATACCTGGACATGGGGACACACAGACATGGGGACACACGGACATGGGGACACACGGACATGGGACACACGGACACGGGGGAGACACGGACATGGGGATACCTGGACATGGGGACACATGGACATGGGACACATGGACACGGGGGACACACAGACACTGGGATACCTGGACATGGGGACACACAGACATGGGGACACACGGACATGGGACACATGGACACTGGGATACCTGGACACTGGGATACCTGGACATGGGGACACACAGACATGGGGACACACGGACATGGGGACACACGGACATGGGGACACACGGACATGGGGACACACGGACATGGGGACACACGGACATGGGGACACACGGACATGGGGACACACGGACATGTGACACATGGACACGGGGACACACAGACATGGGGACACACGGACATGTGACACATGGACACGGGGACACACGGACACGGGGACACACAGACGTAGAACACAGCCGGACACCGGGACCCACGGACACCGGGACCCACGGACACAGCGCCCCCTCCCCCTCCCTGGGGACCCAGGCATCCGGGAAAA